CACGGATGGACCCACGGACAGACCCACGGACGGACCCACAGCCCCACAGATCCATGGACGGACCCACAGACAGACCCATGGACCCATGGATGGAGCCACAGATGGACCCACGGACGGACTCATGGACAGACCCACAGACAGACCCACAGATCCACGGACAGACCCACGGACAGACCTATAGACGGACCTACAGACAGACCCACGGACCCACGGATAGAGCCACAGACGGACCCACGGACAAACTCACGGACAGACCCACAGACGGACTCATGGACAGACCCACAGCCCCATGGACAGACCCACAGACAGACCCACGGATGGACCTACAGACGGATCCACAGAATCACGGACAGACCCACAGACCCCTGGACGGACCCACAGACGGACCCATGGACAACAGACCCACGGATGGACACACAGAGCTACGGACAGACCCACGGACGGACCCACAGACGGACCCACAGACGGACACACAGACCCACGGACGGACCTACAGCCCCCTTAAAGGGGCCGCATCCTCAGACGGACCCACAGCCGCTGACTCACAGCCACGCGGAGGACGGACAGACGGCCGCGGCCGCCTACAGCGGGGGGTGGGGACACCCACAGACGGACAGACGGACAGCCGGAGCCATGAGGGGGTGAGGGACCCACGGACGGACAGACGGACGGATGTGGGGGGACGCACAGACGGGTGGACGGACGGATGGACAGATGGGCAGCTGTGGGGCGCAGAGGGACGGACAGACGGCCATAGGGATGGATGGGTGGACAGACGGGTGTCCATGGAGCTGAACGGAGGGGCAGACAGACGGACGGATGGACGTCCACAGAGATGGATGGACAGACGTACAGACGTCCATGGGGATGGATGGACGCATGGATGCCCATAGCAATGGATGGACAGACAGACAGATGGATGAGAAGGTGGACAGATGGACGCCCCTAGGGATGAATAGGCGGATAGACAGACGTCCACGGGGCCGAATGGACGGACAGACGGACAGACGGACGTCCATAGGGACGGATGGAGGGACAGATGGATGTCCATAAGGGTGGGTGGGGGGACAGATGGACACATGAGCATCTGGACAGACAGACGTCCGTAAGATGGGTGGACGTACAGACAGACGGACGCCCCTAGGTCTGAGCGGACGGACAGATGGACGGACAGGTGAATGGACAGACGGACACCCACAGGGACGGGTGGACAGACGGACACCCACAGGGATGAACGGACAGACAGACAGAAGCCCACAGGGATGGACAGACGGACGGACAGACGGACACGTGGACATCCATGGGGATGCATGGGGGTGGACGGACAGACGGACGGACAGACGGACGCCCATAGGGACGAAAGGACAGGCGGACGGAAGCCGACAGGGATGGACAGATGGACACACGGACATCCGTAGGGGTGGATGGATGGACGGACAGACGGACGCCCGTAGGGACGGACAGACGGACGCACCGACCTGCAGCTCCGCTCCGCCCGGGGGTCCCGCAACGCCCGGAGGGGGGGAGGAGGGGGGCGTGGCCAAACGGGGAGGGGGCGTGGCCAACTGGGAGCGAGGGGGCGTGGCCAATGAGGAGCGAGGAGGGGCGGGGCTTCTCCAGCCCTGCGGCTGCAGAATGCGCGGGAAGGGGGCGGAGCCTTAAAGGGGCCGCGTCCTCGGGCTCCTCCCCGCTCCTCTATCCGCCCTCCTTCCCCCCCCACCCCCCCACCCCGTGGGGAGGGGACCTCGGGCAGCCCCTCCCCCCGCTCAAAAAGGG